AAGAATAGCAATGGAATGGTTACTAAACAACCTTTTCGCACGGAATAATAATGTCATTCCAAGAATATTTTAAGGCGAATGCTACACACGTGATATTTATCACGATCCTTAGATTGCGATCCAGGATCGTGATATTTATTGAACGTGTAGTATCAAATATTGATGGATCGCGATACGGATCACAGAATTTTTAGATTTCCGAAAGTCTATGTCGCGATCCAAGGATCGTGATAAATATTTGGCGTGTAGGGTTGCTGCGATACGGATCACGTCAGTCTGCTCTGGAGAAGCGATAGAAGAGGATGACTTTTGTAGCGATGCCGGCGAAATCACAAACGGGTTTCGACGGGACCGTCTACAATCCATCAAAAATATTTACAGGCTTTTATAATATGTTTGGAAATAACGCCCATATTATGGGACACATCGTGTGATGGTTTTAAAAACAATTTTAAGTGCATGGAGGCACTTCAGAAGTTACTACCTATTTATAAAAAAAAATACAAAATGACGCTTCAATTGAAGATGTTAGAAAATGATCGTTAAAATCGACACTCTCCTTTTTAACATTATTGTGAACTTGCGTATGTGGTAGAGCCATGCTGCAGTTATATTAGTGGTATAGTTGTAGCACGAATGGGTCGGCTTGAAGGAAAAGACCACGCTCTCACAGAATACCAGCGTAAAATAGTAGCTTAATGCTGCTGTGTTGCGTATGGTGAGTGTAGATAACCGGAGGATAGATGTAGATGTCTATGGGCCACAGCAACCACTTACCATCAGGTGGACTGTGTTCTCGTTTTCGCCTATAAAAAAGCTTTTTCTACGTTTCGGTCCATTTTAGATATGTCTGCACTTAACAGTTTTATGCCCAGTACTGACGTGATCCGTAATGAACTTGTAGGGTGTGTCGATATGGATCGCGATACGTCATTCCGGATCGAGACCCAGATCGTGATAAATATCACGCGTGTAGCATTCGCCTGATGGTGTCTTATATTTCTTCGCAAGTATTACGGTCAGTATCAATTTGAAGTTCATTCCGTCACAATAATACAGAGTTTTTTTTTTGCGTTTATCATCACTCATTTTGTATTTTTTATATACCTAGTTGAGTTACGGTTACACACAATGTTAAAAAAGCTATAAAAAAGAAAAAATAAAACTAAAAATTTAAATTAGCGTACTGTCCTACTTTGTCCTACTTCCAGTGGTATCGCGCCAAGAAAACTTGTTGCGCTTCCTCGCTAAATGGTTACACCTTTGAGTATTCAACCAATACTCGAAGGATTACACTTAGCCTTTTGTATATAAACACTAAATAATATCAAGTAATACACACCTCTCGGTAGAGAGTAATTATGTTCTGTGATACACACAAAGAAAAGATACACAACGAATGAAACTTCAAACCTAGTACAACTCGACATTGATACATGTTGACAGCTATTTTAAACACAATTATATTAAAAAATCAAGTGGGCATAATATAACCTTTTGCATCGTCCTTCAATATAACAATATTTATTTGTTACGTTTTACATTACATTTACGATTTACCAACATAAGATTTCTTAAATATTTTTGTTAAATTGGACTGCCTCATAAGTCTAGTGGTTGTAGTAATGCGACTGCTGATCATGAGGTCCTGGATTCGAATACGGGGTCGGCCCCAAAAAAACAATTATTGAGTTTTTTCGTGAAGAAATTCTCAGTAGCTGCCCGAAGTCAGGGAGTTGACAGTGTCTCACCCCGTGCCTCGGAGAGCACTTAAAGCCATTGGTCCTACGCCTGATCTCTCTCTGGTCGTATCGGTTTACCGTCCCATTGGATTATGAGAGTGAGGGAATAGAGAGTGCACCTCTGCTTGCGCATACACTTGGGCACTATAATCCTGCCCTGCGCCGATGGCTAGCCTCCGTTGAGGCAGGCCGCCATGTCCGAAATAGGGTCTGGAGGACATTATCTTTGATATCTCTCATTGAGGATATGAAAGTAGATTATTCATTCCATACCAGCAGCTCAGTGCTAAACACGGCCTCTTCCATCGTAGTATAAAAATTACAAAGTACTCTGTGACAGTAGAAAATATTTAGGCGTGCGGATTGGCAATTTACATCTGGATACATGTTGATACCTACCGCCATCTATCGAATGCCGCAGTACACCCACTTCAATTTATCCTCTAAATTATGGAAAGTAAAATAATACCTATATAATGTATAAATATTAACGCTCTTTATGATCCTAAAAATAAATACTTTATTTATAAATAAATTTCTACTTTACAATATAAAAACTAATAAATACTAAAAATATTATACCTCAGCTGAGCTACGAATATCAATTACAAACTAAAAAAATATTCAAGTCCTTATTTTATTAAATTTTCAAAACATGTTTTGGCAACTGTACTGGTCGAATCATTCCCTGATGGCTGCTTTTGAAGGCTTTTGATTCACTTGAATCTAACTGGACTTAGATATGGACGTTAATGAAAGCCGACTAGGGCATTTGTATACATTAATAATGAATGCCGTTGAAATTCAAATACATTTGCTTATTACAAACATACTATTCAGTTTAAATATTAAAAATTCATTTATTCACACAAAAATTAAGTGCGTGCGTAGGTATTTCGTTTATATCATAAAAGAACTTCTATTATTTGTATAAAATTAAGTTTTACTCGTACCTTATGTTATGGTTGTCGCAAGAATGGGTCGGTTCGACCGGGTAAGAACCACATTTTCGCAGAATACCCGCCATTTGCTGCTGCGTTTTATAGCCATACATATATTGAGTATAACCTGAGACTCTTTCACCGGAAATGAGGCATGCATATTAATCCTCAGAGGTGACAATGCATCTCCATTTTGATTCACATGGGTGACAGCATCCACTTACCATCAGGTGGACAGTGTGCTTGTTTGTCACCCATAGAATTACATGACATTTTTACGTTATAAGAATGGCAAACTATTTAACAGTTCACTTGAGGATAAGTGACTACTTTAGCCCATACACACTTGCGATCAACTTTAATCAAAGAATGCTTTGGAAGGCATAGTCGCTCTTCACGATAGAGGTGAGATAATTATTGCCTGCAACTACACTAGCACCCTTAAACTGGTATTTATAGACGATCTATATCTTGAAAACTGAATTTAAGCTCAAGATTGTCCTTTTAAAAAATCGGTGTAAGCTTTGAACCGGTGCTACACATCCCTTACGAAAAGAAAGGGTAGTAAAGCCATATGAACCTAGCAATTATTAAGAAGCGACCTTCATAATCGATTAAAATCCGATAATTCATTGGTATGAACGCGCTTAAAATTATCAATTAAATATCATCATTTGTAACAAAACTATGAAGAAATAAAAATCAATGCATGCTTCATTGATTTTTATTCGATTTTACGTCCATTATCAAAGAGACGCCAAATATGACTGATGTTGAGATTTAGACGCAGCATTAAAGATACACACAACAACACCTAATATAATATACGTCTAGATCTAAAAATCTAATACCTAATTCAATAGAAGTTATTCTTTCTAAAAATTACCAGTTGTATTTGAATATAAGAAATTGATTAATATAGCAGGGCATATTATTAGTATCAAAGAAGGTTTGGATCATTTGACGCTATAGTGAAATGCTTTGATAAGATCAGATGTTGGCTGGAATGTATATACACATTTATTTTTATAGTACTGGGTGACAAACGAGCACACAGTCTACCTGATGGTAAGTAAATGCTGTGGCCCATAGACATCTACATTTATCTTCAACTAAGGATCACAATGCAAATGCTTTGTCACCCCTGAGGACTAAGATGGAATGTCTTGAATGAAGTAAAAAGGGTCTCCGGTACTCTGCACTCACCATACGAAACACAGCAGCATTACGTTGCTATTTTACCCTGTTATTCTAAGAGAGTGTGGTCCTGCCCCGGTCGAGTAGGTTCATTCATACATACATATACATAAACACTCACGCCTGTCACCCATAGGGGTAGGCAGAGACTACAGACTTCCATTTGGCACGATCCTGATACACCAACTCTTGCCTCCTTCACATCCATACACCTACGCATACATGCTCGTCGATTAAGGGTACTCCTAATTTGGCCCGTTTTCAATAAATCGCCAATTTGGTCGATAAATTTTCGCCTAGGACGTCCCTTTCCGACTCTGCCATTCACTTCTGCAACATAAATTTTCTTTGTCACTCTTTCCTCATTCATTCTTTCCACATGACCAAACCACCGAAGATAATTTAAAGAAAGGGGTATGAAAGTGGACGCAAGTAAGACGAAAGTTATGGTTTTTGAAAAAGAAGAAAATAAAACGATTTGTGAAATAAGAATAGAAGGGGGAGTTGATCGAGCAAGTAGATGAGTTTGTATATTTGGGCTGCGTATTTAGCAGGGATGGGAGATATGATAAGGATATAGAACGACGAGTGAATGCGGGAAATAGAGTAAATGGGGCCTTGCACTCTATTGTGAAGAGTCAAAATGTGTCGAAAAAGGCACGTATGGCAATTCACAATGCTGTGTTGGTCCCTACTTTAATGTATGGTAGTGAAAGTTGGGTGTGGCAGAAAAAGCACGAGAGTAGAATAAACGCAGTAGAAATGCGGTCGTTAAGTAGTATGTTAGGGCTGAATCTGAATGAAAGGGTAAGAAATTGTGTAATAAGAGAAGAGTGTGGTTTGCAAGATGATGTTGTGACCAGGATTAAGAAAGGAATGCTTCGGTGGTTTAGGTTCATTCGTGCTACAAATATAGCTGCAGCGTGACTCTACCACGTTATAATATTTATACATGTACACAGTACACTATATACACAGTACACTATATACACAGTACACTATATACACAGTAACTTATAACAGTACACTATCACAGTACATTCACCTACAGCTAAAACCAACATAGTATGATAATTTGTGGATTCGGACTTACCAAGTTAATATTTAGACAAATATTAACATGGTAAGTCCGAATCCACGATTTGCCGAGACACTAGTATTATATACTCTTTACTACATACTAAAGCGTTAGTAAATACTAAAACGGTACTAATTATGCAGCACGGCAACAGCTGAGCGATTTAGAAGTCATATATAATTAGGTTTTTTTTTTCATAGGGAAATGCCTATGAATAACTGCCTCGTGGGTGCAAAGATGGATTATGGGGGAGACACAAACAAGTCCGCAACTATCTCAAATCATTGATACTAACATAGCTGGCCAACGTTCGGCAGTTACTGTTATTTTGCTGAATACTGAATTTAGCAATGATTTTTCGATTCACAGTTGCATCGCGTAAATAGTGGGCATATTTACTGACATTTATGTTGTCGTTATTTAATAGCATGCAAATAAGTCCCTGAGCTCAATCGAATGAGCCAATTATTTTAATATTGCTGACAGGCATTTCAATTTTATTTGTGTGTTTAGTAAGTGTTAATAAAGTAAATTCATTTTTCAATTTATGTATTATCTAAAATTGTACAACACGATAATTATAATATGTTAAACGATGTAGTGTCAAAAATTTCGTATAATTCAATTTAAGGCCTTTGCACAACAATATAAATTAATTCCTTGATTGATATCACAATTTTATCGAAAAATTGTTTTATATGCGTAAACGCCAATTGCTAAATTTATTTGCAATTCAGCTATAACGTTGATGAAATATTAATTGAAATTCAGTTCAATCGTGCTGTTTTTTATTTCGATACGATGTGTTGTTGTGAAAATACCAAAGTGCTCTAGATCTGAGAAACATGAAACATGTTCTTAAAATCATCTTTGTTTTCTGTTTGTAACTCTACACAAAGATTGTTATATTCTCCGAGAACCTCCGTTCTTGTTATTCATGTTTTGATCCAACACCATTTTCTTTCTGCACTTTTGTTTGCAAATGAAGAGAAAATCTAATTGAATATAAGAATTGCATAATAAATAATTGTATGTGCTGTTTACACCAAGAGAAGTATTGAATCGAAACTCGTCCAATAGATCAAGAATGTTACGTGTTATTTAGATCACGCTACGCAGTAAATGAGTTTACTCCATCAATTCAACTGTATGAAACAGGCAAGAAACTTGCATTATGTAAATGGCCCATTAGATTCTAAAAACTGACATTTTTTTTAAATGTTGGTCAGTAAAAACTTTTTGGAATAATAAAATAAAGTTCACTGTATTTTTATTTTTTAATTTAGTTTGTGTCGTTCCGTAAAGAAAAAGTAAGATTTAAGGCCGAAAAAATATTTTAAATTTTTTTTTGTTTGTCCATCTCTCTGTGAAGAACCATGGTAGCTTAGGAGATAAGCGTTTACGTTTTACGTGGTAGAGCCACGCTGCAGCTATTATTATGGTTATAGCACGAATGGGTCGGCTCAGCCGGGCAAGGACCGCGCTTTCACAGAATACCAACGTAAAATAGCAGCTTAATATTGCTGTGTTTCGTATGGTGGATGTAGACATCCGTAGACCCTTTTTTTACCGGAAACGAGGCATTCCATCTTAGTCCTCAGGGGTGACGCATCAGCGTTTTGATTCTTAGTCGAGGATAAATGTAGATGTCTTTGGGCCACAGCATTCACTTATCATCAGCTGGATTGTGTGCTCGTTTGTCACCCTTAATTCTATAAAAAAGCACTCGCTATGAATTTCATGGTACGCGAGCAACCAAGGTTCGATCCCCGCCGGCACTAATGAAATTGTTAATTGCAATTTTAAGTGCTGGCACGGAGGCCTATGCCCAGCATTGGGACGTATATAGGCTGTACCTTTAACTTAAATGTCTGGTCTAATCTTCGGAAGGGCAAGACCGATGGTGACGATACTGAACGAACAGATGGAAAGCTAGCAGAATACTAAGAGGGATACGGGCTATATTTTTTAAACGATTTTTCTTTTAAAATTTTATTAAAAAAGGTTCTTTTATTATCTTAAACTTAAATAACGCAACATAATTATATAGATCCTTTCCAGACGACGTAATATACTACTTTATATAACACTTGGTGAACATTTTAGTAATCGTGTTACTACTCAACAACTTGACTGATCGTATTCACACGATATAAATTGTCGAGACGATAGCACAGTATAGGCAATTTTACTACGTAATAGTTTATAAGTATGTTAGGATTAATTAACTTGGCGTTGTAATCAAGTCAAGTTATTAACATATCCATTAGATAAGGACCGAATCTACTTGGAATATTCAAAATATAATATGTTGATAAGCAAAAAAAATCAGTTTTGTACCAGTAAGCGAAGTATAGAGTAGAGTGACGACCTAGTTAAGAGATCCAGAAAGTCAGTGAATGCTGGCGGCAATCTTCCCGGCTGTTGAACGAAGAACCGGTTTATGTACTGTTAACTTCGCTCCCCAACATTGTCAGTGTCAACATTGTAAAAAAATTATTTTTTTATATTCCCAACGTTTCGAGCACTTTACAGCACCTATCGTCACCGGGGAGACTGAGGTGTTAGACGTCCTGATGTCATAGTTAACCGCGGTAACCCACAGTTTATAATATTGAAGTCTTGCAATTATATGCTTGGGTTGGGATTTAATTTTATTAATTATAGGATCCCAAGCAGATGGCAGCACCCAACCATCTTCTCTATTGTAATTAGGATGTTTTTTAATGGGTAATAGCTAATTGCCATGGTCTTAAAACCAAGCGACAGATATATAACATCTTTAAATTTCTTGAAGAGAAGCAGAGACATAATCTCATTCCTCGTGTGTCAAAATATCAAGAAAAGTAACGAGGAAGCTAGATTTGAGCGCCCAGCCATCTTCTCTGCTGAAATTAGGATGTTTTTTGATTTCAATAGCCTCGCGAATCATCCTTGGAAGGAATCAGTGTTCTTTAGTAAGGATTTGTGGTCTATCAAATCTGATGCAGTGACGGGGTAGGTCCTGTACGTGTTAAAAGATTAATAATATACGTGATAAAATCCGTAAAAACTAGTTTTATTTAAATGTGTAGTGTTCGTGTAAATATAAGAAATCATTTTGGCTGGGATTTTATTATTCAGCATTTGCATTTTTCGCCATCAGTAATTCGCTAGAACATCGATTCAGGACGCACCACGTGTAGGTGAGGCTTGAATTTGTAAAAGAATGGCATATTACTACTTACCTCATACTCATTCATCATTTATTACAGCCCATCAAATAATCACCGCAGAGCATATATTCCGTTATCGGGGTCATATTTGTCACAACTGCCATATTTAGCAGGCATAATCCGTAGTTTTTCCTCTTAGTTGTCAGGAAAATGCTGCTTCCCATTTCCTCTTTAATTTCCTTCTATAGCCTCTTACGGAATCCATGGGACGACATGCTCATAGCCACCATTCCCTCTATTACCAGTCTTACCAATTAGTTGGTTTCTGTGGGAATATTAACTTTTTTTTTTCAAACTATTTTAAGTCGACTTTTTTTACCATACAATGTTTTAGCCTTGACCATACGACCAAGATTCAATACGCCTTCCTAAAAGTAGATGTACCCACAGGAAGCATATCAAAATATGTGCTTATCAACTGGCAGGGTGAAGGTGCACCCACTGTACGTAAAGGCACCTGTGCGAACCACGTTAAGCACGTAGCTCAGTTCTTTACCGGCTTCCATCTGACAATGCACGCCCGTACGGAAGACGATCTCGACGAGAAGATAATTTTAGATAAGCTGGCGAAGGCCGGATCAGCCTTTAACTTTAAGAGCAATAGGCAAGAGGAGTTGCCACCGAGTGGACCAGTTGGGACTACGTATAAGAAAGTTAATCCAGTTCAAGAAATTAATTCCAAAGAACGGGACCAATTTTGGCTTAAAGAGGAACAAGAAGAGAAGAAACGAGTAGAAGCCGAAAAGAAAAGACGAGAAGAGGAAAAAAGAAAAGCAGAGGAAGAAGTAAGAAGAAGAGATGAGCTCGAGGCAGCGAGAAGAGCAAAAGCAGAACAACAGAAAACGGAGGCGGATGCGGTAGCGGAAGCGAAGGCGGGCGGCGGTAGTGCGGGCGAGGAGCTGCGCCGCCAGCGCTCCGCGGAGGCGCACCGCCTTATCGGCGCCTCCACTGCGGCCGCACGCGCGCTCTTCCAGCAGAACCTCGCGCAAGGACAGCTGTCTGCACGATCGAACTCCATACCAGATAAACCAGTACGTGGTTCGGTTATAGCGCAACGGATCAACACATTCTCGCAGAGCACGTCGCCTCAACCGACCACGCCTGTAAAATCTCCCACAAAACTAGAAAAGACAACCCTACAAGAGCCCACAAATGAAGAACCCAATGACCAACTCAAAACAAGCCCGCTGAAAAACATAGACAAGATAAAAATGAGTCTTGAAAGTCCCTCCCAAATACAATACGAGTCAATAATAGTTAAAAGTGAACCAGTGATCAAACAGAATATTCTGGAAAACGATATGTTTGATGCATCCTACTCGAGTTCGAGTGAGAATGATGATGATGACAGTGATAACAAATTCAGCACAATCAAGCGGTCTCCATATACCAAGAACACTGATGCTAAATCTGAACTGAGTCGACAGAACACAGTTATAGAAAATGTGAATTATAAGAAGGAGAATGGTACAACCACGCTTGTTGATGTATCTCCAGAAGGTATGGATGATGAAGGCACCATTTACATATACTTGATCGTATGCAATTTCTTTATAAAATTGTTTACTTTTGCACAGCAATCAGATTTCAGTAGACTAACAGAGATTCAAAAAAAAAAGTACTGCAAGGTCGCTTTAAGGACTCCATAATATGTGTAAGTGCCGTCTACGGTAAGCTGTACGATTAAAGCATTTGTAATTCATACTTTATGTATATCATAATTTATAATATGATAAAATCATGTATGTTACGCGCCTTTAATGTCCTTCAATATTATTTTTGATGTTTGACTTTTTGGTAGGCAAACCCTTAAGGCGACATCGTGAAAAAATGCACCTCCTTTCATCGAATAGTATAGGACTATCACACCACTAACGAAAGTGGAATTTTGATATAGGTAAATTCATGTCTTTATCTTTAATTTGATTGTTCAAAAACACGATTGTTTAATTTCAAAATTAATAATCGAGTCAACTCGAAGAGTCAAACGAATCGAGTCAACTCGATCATAATTATTAGCGAAAACACCTCTAAAAATCACTATAGTTGAAATTACAACGAATTTACTTATATGCTTGAGAATATGTATATTATATTATATATATATATATATATATATATATATATATATATATATATATATATATATATATATATGGTTGAGAATCACTCAAATATATTCATAACATCAATATTCGTAATTTGCTTGTTCATTATTTTGATTACTTAAATCAATAATTAAAAAAAATATATTTTAAGAATCTGACAATTCTAAGCGCTTTTAATCGTCACGAGCGCTACGCAATTTTAGACCTTATGACGGCGTTTTTTCAAGTTTTATAGAAATTATGTATTCACTCGGATTAGTACGGCGATAGCCTTTTCGACGTGAAACGTTTCCAACAAAGCTGCAAACTTCCATAGCATTCACCAGGCCATGACGTGTAACAGTTTATTAAAAACATCAGCAATTAAATATGATAAAATCATTTCTTATATTTACGCGAACACTACACATTCATAGATAACATCCGTAAAATTAGTTTCGTTTAATGACAAAATCAGTAAAAATTATCATTATGTAAATTAAAACGTGTTAATTGTAATTTATTGTGTTGATTTATCACGTGATCGACGTTGAAGGAAGACTTTGTGATCCTGAATGATGTCTGGGGAATAAAATATTTCAAGTATATTCCCTACCAACATTTAACAACTTCAACAAGTAAGAAGAAACTGGACGTATAAAACTATACCCAATTATAATACAAACTACAACAGAATAAAAACTATTTGCTAATTTTGACAGACCGCATATATTTCAAATAGTTTTCTTTTTTTAAATATTTTCAAAAATTTGGAATAAAATTCCATGACATTGCATTTGTTTTAGGTCGATCATTGCAATAAGTTGCGGTCTCGATACAGTCAGTTAGTTTAAAAAGGAATTTAAGTGTAAGATAAAGAATTAACAATGAGGGAAATAGTTCATATACAAGCTGGACAATGCGGTAACCAAATTGGTGCAAAGGTAAAAAAGCCTCTTACAATTTTCTTTTTAAATATTTTCGACTTAGATTTTCATTGGTACATTCGAGATTTCTCTAAATCCTATTTATTGATCATCTAATGTTGATTGTAATTTTATTTTGGAGTAAAAACTTAGGTACGTTGAGCTCTTTTGGGATGGGGAAAAAGCACTAAACATGCGTGACCGTCACGCTCATCATATATTGTGTGTACATGGTAGAGTCATGATGCAGCTATATTTTGGTTGCAGCACGAATGGGTCTGCTCGACCAGCGTAGAGGACCACGCTCTCACAGAATACCAGCGTAAAATAGCTGCTTAATGCTGTATTTCGTACGGTGAGTGTAGAGAACTGGAGACCCTTTTTACTGGAAACGAGGCATCTTGATCCACAGGAGTGTTAATTCATCTGCATTTTGCTTCTTAATTGAAGATAAATGTAAAATTATATGGGCCACAGCATCCACTTACCATCAAGTGGACTGTGTGCTGCTCGTTTGTCATTCTACGAAATTACTATTTTTCACAGAAAGTATTATACTAAATATTAAATGTGTTATAAATAATAATACGTAATGTGCCGTATGGTGGTTATGTAAGAGAAATCGCCCCGTTTTTTTTCCGTATTAAAAGAATACTTAACTCTCAATGTGTATTATTCTTGTGACCTGTATGGAATAAAAATTATTATATTTTATTCCATTCTATTCTCAACAAAGGTTTCTAATGAAACCATGTGGATATTATATCTATTGAAACACTGAAAATTGACAATGCAACGAGCAGTAATAGCTTAAACTACCTCTACACTAAATAAACCTGACTTACTGTGTTGTTACATCAATCGTAAATTTCCAGTTCTGGGAGGTTATATCGGACGAGCATGGCATCGATCCAACTGGCACGTACCACGGCGACTCCGACCTTCAATTGGAGCGTATCAACGTTTACTACAATGAAGCCACTGGCGGTAAATATGTACCTCGAGCCATATTAGTTGACCTCGAGCCCGGGACGATGGACTCTGTCCGCTCAGGACCGTTCGGACAAATATTCCGCCCGGACAATTTTGTATTCGGCCAATCTGGTGCTGGAAATAATTGGGCTAAGGGTCATTATACAGAAGGTGCAGAATTGGTCGATTCCGTTCTTGATGTTGTTAGAAAGGAGGCGGAGGGTTGTGATTGTCTACAAGGATTTCAATTGACGCATTCTCTTGGTGGCGGCACAGGAGCTGGTTTAGGTACGTTACTGATATCAAAAATAAGGGAGGAATATCCTGATCGCATAATGAATACTTTCAGTGTCGTCCCATCACCCAAAGTATCGGATACAGTGGTTGAACCATACAATGCTACACTTTCTGTGCATCAACTAGTGGAAAACACTGATGAGTCGTATTGTATTGATAATGAAGCTTTGTATGACATCTGTTTCCGCACTCTAAAGTTAACTACACCGACATATGGAGATCTAAATCACTTAGTGTCTGCTACAATGTCCGGTGTCACCACTTGTCTTAGATTTCCTGGCCAATTGAACGCAGATTTAAGGAAACTGGCCGTCAATATGGTTCCGTTTCCTCGCCTCCACTTTTTTATTCCTGGATTTGCTCCATTAACGTCAAGGGGAAGTCAGCAGTATAGAGCTTTGACAGTTCCAGAATTGACTCAACAAATGTTTGATGCTAAGAACATGATGGCGGCATGTGACCCCAGACATGGGCGATATTTGACTGTAGCGGCCGTATTTAGAGGCCGTATGTCAATGAAAGAGGTCGACGAGCAAATGATGAATATTCAGAATAAGAATTCGTCTTACTTTGTTGAATGGATTCCAAACAACGTGAAGACTGCCGTATGTGATATACCACCTAGAGGCTTAAAGATGTCTGCAACGTTTATCGGAAACTCTACTGCGATCCAAGAGTTATTTAAACGAATTTCGGAGCAATTCACTGCCATGTTCAGACGTAAAGCATTCTTGCATTGGTATACTGGAGAGGGTATGGATGAAATGGAATTTACAGAGGCTGAAAGCAATATGAATGATTTAGTATCAGAATACCAGCAATACCAGGACGCAACGGCTGAAGAAGAGGGTGAATTTGATGAAGAGGAGGAGGGTGGAGATGAAGGAGATTAGATCCTATGAGAGCTATCTTACGTACAGCTACTAAAACATACGATATTCTATTGTATTATCTATTTTAATTTCTTTAATATATATTTTTTGTTAAATGTCTTTTTGTTGATGCTATAGAATAATATATTCGTATAAATTTAATTAATAGAACATTGATAGGAAAACTTTCTTAGTACTAGTTTTTACGGGTTTTACGCGTATATTAACTTTTTTATATACCTACCCGACGTTTCGAGCACTCTACAGCACCTATGGTCACGGCGGAACTGAGGTGTTCAACGTCCAGATGTCATAGTTAACGGCGGTTATCACAGATTAAAGTTATTAATATTTGTTCCGATCTACGCAGTATGAACTTGCAATATTATCTTGAAGTCTTGCAGTTGTATGCTTGGGTTGGGATTTAATTTTTATTAATTATTGGATCCCAAGCAGATGGTAGCAGTGTTCGCGTAAATTAAATTTTCTTAGTTTCGAACTAAACCTTTTTCGAAACCAATAAGTTACTAAAATTATAAAAGTAAACTTATAGCTGGTCCCACTGCTGAGCACAAGCATCTCATTTTAAGATGGTTACGGAGCAGTCAGCCACGTGAACATCAAGATCGCTACTCCAGTGCGTGTGTGCGGACATTTCCTCGAAATTCAGCAGCAATAAGCTACTATTTTACGCTGGTATATTGTATTTCTATATTTAAAGAAAATATTTCACCCATCATTTAGGGTGGAAAAATAGATGATTATAGTCAACCAAATCTAAGAAATACATTTTGACAGCTGTCAGACTTATTGTACCAAGCATGCCAATCAAAAAATGGGAACGTACAATATTCGATTCTTGAAAAAATCGATATTGATTATTTAGAGTTGGTAATAATTTATAGTTTGGTTTGAATAATACCAGAATAAATTAAAAACGGATAATTTAAAACACAAGATTTATCAGTTTCTTCGTTTTTGTTGTTACTGCTTATTTCTAGGGGCACAGTTATAAAAATTTAAGATTGAAACCAGATTAAAAATAAATTTATTCAATCACTTTCAGTACAACTAGTAGGGATGTCGTTGTTTATATTAATTATTATTTGATTTTCAATAATGCAGTCAAAATTAATGTCTCTCTAAAAGTCATACATAATCAATTTTTTGTTTTTTCTACCACTTTTTCCCAATTATTCTTTGTGACATGGGCACATGCTTTAATGAATATTTTTTATAGCATTAGGTGACAAACGAGCACACAGTCCACCTGATGGTAAGTAGATGCTACGGCCCATAGATATACACATTTATCCACAATTAAGAATGAAATTCAAATGCGTTGTCACCCCTGAGGACTAAGATGGTATGCCTCGATTCCGGAAAAAAGGGTCTCCGGTTCTCTACACTCACCATATGAAACACATCAGCATTACGCTGCTATTTTATGCTGGTATTCTGTGAGAGCGTGGTCCTGCCCTGGTTGAGCCGACTCATTCGTGCTACAACTATAATATAGATGTAGCGTGGCTCTACCACGTACATAAAGTTATTTTAGAAGAAACAGTCCAAAAAGTTAAAGCCGAGTCACAATAAGAAGACAAATTTGTACATAGCTTATTTTAAACATATTGTAAAAAAGCTTATTGTAAAGGAAAGGAATATAATTATGCTAATAAAGTTATTTATTTTTTATGATCTCTAAGTTTATATATATCCTATTAACCGAGCAATTCTTATATTATATATATATATATATATATATATATATATATATATATAAATATATATATATATATATATATATATATATATATAACGGGATCTCGGAAACGGCTCCAACGATTTTCATAAAATTTAGTGTCCAGGGATTTTCGGGGATAATAAATCGATCTAGCTAGGATTTATTTTTAGAAAATGTCTTTTTGTCTGTGTTTTTAGGCAATGAAAAACTGCTACAATATCGTTAGAATAAGAAGGTAAATTTTGACAGATTGTTAACGATTATAAATAGCTTAATTCTTATAATGGGCGGTCACAGAATCGTAAAACCGCGGTTCGAGCCCAGACCGGCCGACCGACTCTTATTAATTTTTTTTTCAAGTTCCTTTCTTTTTTTGAGAAAATTTATTTTTTCGAGCCCTTTTTTTAGTATTTTTTAAAAACACGAAAATTTAAATTAAAATAATTACACTTCCCACCAGTTCCGTTTTTTCTGTTATGTCGCTTAGATCAAAAAACATTATTTATATTTCATCAGTATGTAATTTGTATCTAAATATAATTTCCAAAACACACGAATTACAAAAAATCGAGCGAAAAATACCGAGCAAAGCTCGGTCAACCAGGTACTATATATATATATGTATATATATATATATATATATATATATATATATATATATATATATATATATATATATATATATATATATATATGTATATATATGGACAAAGTTTATTTATTCTCAAAAAAAAATACAAAATTACGCACAGTAAGCTCTCGAAACAAACAGAAACTTTTTTATTCAATATAGATTATGAATAATACTTATTGAAAGTCACTTTTTTCATTTACCACTGGTTCACAACAAAACCTCTCTCCTGGGAAGAACCAACAAGAAACCCAACGGGACTAGGTAGTTTAAAAAAAATAAAAGCTTACAATGATGGGTGTTACAATTAACAACACAAAACAAATAGAAATAGCTTGGTAGCGATCACCCTTCCCGGGGTTATTACATATCATTCATAAATTCCTTAATATTAAAATAACCCTTTTTATACAAGTATACTAGTTTAATAAAGTTTTTGTACTTTGTCTACTCGTACTTTCGTCAAATTTTGTATATTTCCTAGCATTTTGTTTTAAAAGCGTATACATCGCCTCAAAATAAATTACTGATTCTATGGAGTCGAGTAACTGGTACCGAAATGGCGGGATATTGAAATTACATAGTGTTTATTTTAGCACGGCCTTGTAAATGAGTATTTTGCTTACAAAAATTTACTTTGAGAAAGTGAAAAAATAAACTTGTTTTATACATGATTCGTGTAATTTAAGGAATTTTGCAAATAAAAATTAAATTAAACAAACAATACATTAAAGAAATTAATGATTCGATTATTAGAATATTTTTACCGATTATTTGAATATTTTGCCGATTATTCGCATAACAATGAATTTTAATCATCCAAACATATAATACATAGCGACATGTCATTGAAACGAAGTCAAGTAAAAAAAGTTAATACTGGCTATTTTTTTATATTTTGCTTTTTTTGAAAAATTCAAATTAAAATTAGTGATAAAAAACTATACACGTTGTAATGAAATATAGATAACTTCATAATTCTTCGGATTTACGTAAAAAGTTATTTTAAATCGTCTGAGTACGCTTGTGCAAAGTTTTTGCGGAATGATTAATTAGAAACGTCAAAAGGTATTTCTTAGATTTGGTTGACTATAATGTACCTATTTAGAAGGCATTCGTGCTTTTAATATTCCTCAATTCCCTGTATATTTAATATATATACAAAATACATATATTTTTTCTGCATATTTTTATATAATTAATAAATTTTCATGTAAGAGCTGTGAAATTTTGTTAATTATAAAAATAAAATGAAATTAGCAAGTTTACTCAAATTATACAAAAGCTAATTTGTAATATTGTCTGTCTATATCAAAAACCTAAATATTTCTTATAATTAATATATCTACCATCTATAGCCGTATCATACGTGTCCTTTAAATGTCTATCTATAAAAAAAGCGGTTATTGGCCTTAGTTTTGTGTTTAGTTACATTAGCTATTAATTTCTCTAATAAATTAATAAAACTAATATTTATTATGGACGAAATGTTATCAAATAACAATTACTATAAATTCGATTGTACTGAACTTGAGCAAATCGCGCGAACTTGTGCAGTAAAATTTGCTATTGCGTAGCGCCTTGAGTCAACTTGATAGCTGTATAAAGTTTGAATCGTATTTGCAGATGCGTTGTCACTTGTAGGGGCTAAGTAGTAAAATAAAATGCTTTACGACCTTTGATTTATAAGAATTAAAGTTACAGCCTATATACGTCCCACTGCTGGGCACAGGCCTCCTGTCATTTCTGAGAGGGTTTTAGGGCAAGGAAGTGTCCGCCGCGCTCCTCCAATGCTTGTTCGCACTTCACATGTCTTCGAAATATAAAATTTTTATTTCGCAAACATGCAGCCTTCTTCACGATGTTTTTCTTCACCGCTGAGTACGTGGTAAATCAGCACTTAAAATTGCAATTAACTATTTCATTGGTGCCGGCGGGGATCGAACCCGTGTTGCTCGCGTACTGTGAAATTTACAGCGAGCGCTAACCATCTGAGCTACCACGGCTCAGATGGTTAGATCCCCTGATTTATGCTAACACATAATTACCCTTTAATCAGCTCAGCAGTGAATGTGTTGCGGTTAAAGGCACACAAAGATATTCCTATGCATAATTAATTTAAGAAATGAAAAAAAAAATTATCACGTAGTAAAAATGTCTTATGTCGCTACTGTAATAAAGGAACACTTTCTTTCAAATTCGTGTAAGAAATAATCAGATAAATCAAACCAAAATTCAATGTAAAAATGCATTCAAGTAAAAAAAACGAGTTCAAAGTAAGTATTTTCATTCGAGTATTGCCGCTCTTACCCTCTTGTGCGAATATTAAATAATTAATGATCTTACATTTCTCTTTGATACTTTTGTGGAGAATGTCTAAGAGGGTTGTGGTAAGGATTCGTTATTTGCACATCTTTAACATAATGAATATCTATTTGTGTTATGAATTTTATTTAAAAAAAATTACACTATACAAATACTCTTGAATTAAGTTAGAATGCCACACAGCCACAACCTGTCATTATACTGTCTTGCCATAGACTTCAGACCAGAACACAGAATTGCAGGCACTGCTACTTTGTGGCAGACGAGCAACCCGGGCTTGATGCTCGTCGGCGTCAATTAATTTAATTTATTAATTGTAAT